AACAAGCACATGGATTCATTGTTTGATCTTAAATATTTTGTTAAATTATTTTTCAGATTAAATTATTTGACAAAATCCTACTATTCCTACTCTCTCTTTTTTAGTTCCGCTAATATACATATAATTTTAATTTTGCTTTTAAAATTAATTAAAATTAGTTAAAATGTATTATCTTTAGTCTCTGATTGTAAAGTTTTTATTACGCGAAAATCATCGTATAAGATACACGCACGGTTTTAGCCTAGCCACAAACCGCAACTTTGGTATCCACGTCCTTCCGATAAGAAAGACTTTCAGAAGCACAAAATACACATGACAAGATAAAAACCACGTCCGTCAAAATTAATGTAGGACTGTATTTCCTTCCACGATTATATGGTTATCTATAACAATTCGCTATCTGTAATTGTTTTTCGTCATGCACGAATTAAAAACTTTGTTACAATACAACGATATTTCGCGTAAAACAATTAAATTGAAATAGTTAAGGATAAATATATGGAATTGTTTTGCATACTTTTACACTTCCCTAAAAATTAATTATACCATATTGTACATATTTAAATTTTAATTTAGACTAATTTGTCACATTTGAAAATCTTGCTGTTATGTGATATACATATATTAGTATTATCAATATATTTTAAAGTTACATTTTTTCTCTCTCATTTTATTGTTAAACTATCCTAGAAGTTTGCACATGTCGGTATACTATCAAACTTTTGTCTTCTAACACTCTCTTCTATTTTTGAAAGTAAAATTGTTGAATGGATATATATGAGAAAAAATCCTATTTTGTAACCCTCTCGTGTAATTTCCTTCCAAGATTTTCCCTATTCTTTTCCGTGCGTTCAATGATACGAAATGACGCATGCAGATCGCGAAATGTGAGTGCATGTCGAATCATTGAGCGAGCGCATCCTCGAAGCTCGGCGATCGAGACAAATCGTTCGTTCAAACCGGACCTTTCTTTCCACGCGCGCATTAAGAATTAAGCTTCCGTGCTTGTAGTCACCTAACGATTGTGATTTATTATTCAAACTGTCCCTTTCCTTGGCCAATCATCATCGCAAATTCCCTGTGACGAGTGATCGGCCGCTCGTTTCCGTGTTCCCCGTATCGGAAAGGCCATTTGCAATCTGTCGAAACCGAGATGTAATTGATTGCCAGCAAGAATACCGTCCTCGTTTCACAGGCGCGTTGTATGCATCGTGGATATTATGCACACAGACCAAAACGCGATAAGAGTACCTTTTATCAGTAGCAAATTTAGTGCTCTTTATTATATAATAAATTATATGAGTGTTATATAGCAGTGCCAATAAAATAATTATATTAGTGAAATATAAGTGTGATCGATATCAATTATTGATATCTTTTTTCAGTCACATTTTTTAAAGATCATTTCTTTTTGTAATATTGTATAATAGATAGGTATACAATATACATATTATAATAAAAAATTAATATTCTTGCATATATGTCATTTGCAAATTATACTTCTGCATGGACTTAAATGTTAACATTTTTGCAATTTGTAGTTGCTATTTATTAGATCGTAACTCTATTTCAAGAGATAAGAGGTAGTCTAATCAATTTCAAAGACACACATAAAATTCACGTTTAATGCTGATTCTTGATTGCCACCGTTGTTTGTCCAGATGCTCTATGCCCTCGAGACCTTGAATTAAAGACTTACACGAGTAATCGTGCTCGCCGACATCTCGTCTTTCCGCTGATTTCGGCATTTCTTATCACGCTCTGACTAGTTCACGATGCGTTAACGAATATCGTACAAGTACGAAAGTACACACGCACGCACGCACGCATGCACACGTTTCATATATTGCGTGTTATATAGTCCATTCGGATGTGAGATAACTACTCTTTCTTTTCTTGTCGAAGGCTGTTTCCGCACGGTTTATAGAGATTTTGAACGAAAATGCTCGACTTTATCGACAGTCGAGAATCGCAGTCGGAATTCGAAAAGAAAGAACATGGAACTCTCTCTCTCTCTCTCTCTCTCTCTCTCTCTCTCTCTCTCTCTCTCTCTCTCTCTCTCTCCCCTCCTTCCCTCCCTCCATCCCTCCGTCTCGTGTAAGATCGACAAAGTGATCTCTATCTTAAAACTCAGTCAAGCAATCTCGATTCAACATCTTCTTCTCTAAAGAACATCTAGTTATATTATGAATACAAATGGTAAATTTAATTAAAACGCTAATCGATTGTAAAGAGCTCTAGTTGTACTCTGCATATATAATTCTAATTAATATCAGGAGAATGGCTATGGTGTTTCTCGATGAATACAGCATTTTATCTGATTTTCAGCTCTTTTAGTTTTTATTAGAGTCTTGAAACTTTCTAGGTTTTAATAAATTAAAATTTGAGATCTCTTATTCAATACAAAAAGATTTACAAAGAGATTTTTCTAAACACACACTATTGCCTTAAATATCTCTGTAAAAGATTCGCACTTAAATAAAATAATTACACATTACAGCAAAATTATTTCGCAAACACAGATATAACATTGTTTTTCTTTTTTAAATGTGTATTTCGATTTAAATGGTTCCTTTTATCATAACGAATTGCAATTGCTTCAAAATTACAATTTTACATGTATCTGTTAGCGAAATCCCTCGCAAAAGCTCGGATGGAAAAATCAGAACGGTGGCGCCGAAAATGTCTCCATCTTCGAAGCATAGTACCGATAAAGACGGGTAGATGATGGGGTTATAAACTGCCGTCGTATAGTCCGCGATTGCACGACTGAAATGGCTGATCGTCTCATCGAAGGGGTAGTCTGTCCCTCGAGCGCGAGTCTCTCACGCGGGGGTTAAAGGCGAAAGGAGTCTGGCGCTGGCGATCGTAAAAGCATCCCGTCCGTCGGCGCGATACCCCCGACAAGCTTCTCGAACTTGTCGATAAATACTTTCGTCTTTCCGGATATTCAGAAGTCCGGCGAGACGATCGGTCAAGTTCTGAAAAGAGTGTTGGGCAATAAAAGTGGGCAAACACTAAACCGTGATAAAAATAACGAGAACCTTAGATTTATACTGCGTAACTTATTTGTCTAACCAACTAATTCGATGAGCTTATCAAAACTGGAAACCAGCACGATGAAACAAAAGGAAGGATTCGTGCCGGTCTGTGTTAAGCTTTATTCTGTCTGTTATACGGTCATTCGGACTGCAGTATTACGGCGGATCAACACAAGTGTAACTTATATGCTATATACATATACCATCCGATGGATGTGGGTCTCTTTTTTCGCGGATTGATATTGAAAGGGACATGTTGTGGGTGGAAGCAACGAACGCGATATGCGTCATGAAGGCGAGCTATTTCTTTCTGGCAGTAAAGAATACATCGCTTACATTTCCACGTTATAAATTTTTGGATGTTAAAGCGTCCGGTGCACATGTCAGACGTCCAAGTAAATTGAACGTAACAGCTGGATGATAAATATCTCGCAACTTTATGACTTGTCAAAATGTTATTAAGTATTATAAAAATTAAGTATTCATAGAGATAGATCTAAGATATACAGACAAATACAACAAAACCATTCTTTTTATTAAAAAAAATTCTAATAAAGAAAGATATATTTGCGATTTTTGATAAAAAAAAATCTTTGTGTTTGATGATGATGTCCGAGAAAATTGATTTTTATGATTATTTCTGTACATTTAAAGGCTAACAATCTGCGACTCTGTTTTACTATAGAAGGGCGACTTAACGAAACGATAAAATGCCGTGGCGCAAGTTTAAGAAACTTCTTCGAAGTACTTCGCGTCAACTTCCGCCTGTCTCGTTCACGTTATAACGGTCGTTTTAAAGAAACCATTTTTATTTATCACGCCGTCTTCTACGTGTATGTATTTCGTCTGAAAGCATGGCATCCTTCGGCGCGCGCTCGTCTCGCCGACTCGCGTATCGGGAGACGAAGACGACAGGAAATTGTTATCGCTTCGCGACACGGGTACTCTCGTATTAGAGTAGAAGCTTTCCGAAATTTTTCGGAAGAGATCGGGCTACTATAACTAATTCAATTTACCTAATGAAGAAGGCAGGACAGAGACAACGGAGAACTGTATATAAAGCAGCACGGCTTTTATGATTCACTTCTCACGAATTGATTTTTTCATGTTCCCTATCCTCCTACTTTCTTACATATACTATCGTACGCGGATAGTACGATAGTATATAGATGTTATCTTGCTGCGAAAGATAGAGATATGTGTATATTAAACAAGACAATTCTTACATATAATTTATGCGGAAGAGTATTTATAAGTTTGCAGTGGCTTAGGAAAAAATTCGAATGATCTTAATCGATTTACAAATGTATTGTTGTTTCAATACTGTCTTAAATTATCAAAATTGCTTCTCTATCATTCTACAACGTCAGTGTACTATTTGACAACTATTTTTTTAATTTTCACTTGTAAAACGATGTAAGATAACAAAATCAATTATCTAGTTTACCATAAAAATTGTTTTAACAATTTTGGTTGTTCTTTCATAATTTTTGCCTGTTGAGCGAATCTATTTTTCAAAATTGGCTGTTGGACGTTACAATTAAAAAAAAAAAATGAGAATTGTGAAGATTTTTGTGATGTTAAGTACCGACAATAAATTTTTTTTTAAGTTTCGTTAACGCCAATTTTAGCATAAATAAAATTGAGAAAAAATTATATAGCTACCAGTTCAACGTCACGAAATTTTCAAGTTATTGTCGTTTTTTAATGTCATTTTTCTCAAAAGTGAAATTTAGAAAACGAATTCGTATTTAGTACTTAAAATACTATAGGAAACGATAAAGTTTGTTCACAGGCAATAATATCAAAATGTAAATTAGCAGACTAGTAAATTATATATTTATTTATATAATAACAGGACTATTTAATTTTATATAATGCGTGATTTTAAGAAATCTTGTTTTCCCCCTTGTTGCTATTTTATTGTATAAATCAGATTATTCCTTCTGTTCACAGAATTCTATACGTCACAACTTGTCGCTGCACAGTAGGTTCATGCGGGTACAGAACGAAGGAACCGGCAAAAGTTCCTGGTGGATGATCAATCGCGACGCCAAGCCGGGTAAATCCGCCCGTCGTAGGTAAGTCCAGATTGCCAGCAATTTGCCTCTCTTTCTGTTTTTCATTTCTCTTGACCTCGAATTGTGTCAAGAGAAATAAACCGTATGTGTATCGTGTTCGTGGCGCAGAGCTACTATGGAGAGCACCGGGAGTCTAGAGAAACGACGTGGTCGCTCGAAGAAGATCGCCGAAGCTCTGAGGAACGGACTGCTAGCCGAGCCCACGTCCAGTCCCAGCAGCAGCGTCGGAGAAGGTCTGGACCTGTTTCCGGACAGTCCCCTACCGCCTGCCAGCGGATTCCAGCTTTCCTCTGACTTCCGGTACAATAGAGCTTTAATATTTTTATTTAGAAAAATAAAATATTTGGAGACACACACACGATAGTGTCTCGGCGTTAAGATGAGCGCAGCGGCGCGAAAGCGACCGTGCTTCTTTAGTTGCGGCAGACCGAAATGATCGGATAAAATTTACAAAACATGAATGATTTATAGTCGAAAAACTGTTTTAAATTATATATCCGTTTTTAATGGACTGTCATAACTGATATGAATCGAGTAATAACCAAACTGACGAAATTAATCTCTTTTTAATTTCGAGAGAATTTGAAGTTTGCAAGTATTAGTTATAGAGGAACAGAAGAGTGAATTTAATTTTTTGTCAATATATGATTAAATCGTACAGTTAGATACTATATGTACATTATATGCGTACGCATACATACATTTGCATCACAAAAATATCTCTATTATACATATGTAAAGTTATAATAGAAAGATATTAGTTATAAATCTCGAGAAGAAACTTAAAGCGTCGTCTTGAGATTTGATTAGGTAATTAATTATTTGTTATATTCAAGTCCTCGCGCCTCGAGTAACGCTTCCTCCTGTGGCCGATTGAGTCCTATCCCAGCGGTTCTCGGGGAACCAGATTGGACACCGACCTACGCGTCTTCTTACAGTCCGGAACAACAATTAGGTACATATCTAACGACAATCTCGCTTTTTTCTCTCCTTTTATCTCTTTGCTTTCTTGATAATTTTAGGATTTATCTTTATAATATATATTATAAAAATTTAGCCATATCAAGTTTAGCTTTCAATTACAGCTATGAAGATTTCACCCAAGTTCTAAAGCGCTCTATTTTAAGTATAGAAAGCAAGTGAATCTTCGCCTTACGACGATTGATAGGAAAGTTCACAGTTTCTTTTTACCTACAATTTAAAATCTCGTAACAGCTCAATCGTTTAACGATATAACCGTATAAAAATTTTTGGATCCAATGACCCGTTGTTGTTGTGTAGTCGAGGATCAAACAGTATATATATAATAGTATAATTATAATAATTAAATTAATCTTAATTAAAATTAGAGATAAAATAAACTTTTGTGATCGTTTATCTGTCTCATATATCTTTCGATAAGACGATTAATACGTGGTGTATCGTGTTTGACAGCAGATACGATCCTAGCAGGCAACCTGGCCAAGACAATGAAACTGGAACCCTACCAAATATACCAGACATCACCGCCGGCTGGTCATCAGCAGCAAACGGGCCCACCGCCACCTTACTACGAAGCGCAGTATCAGAGAAATAACGGCCTATGCACTTCGTCATCCGCGTCTTATGGCCTGCCACCTACTCCACAGTCGACCAATCAACAAAGATGTCCGATTCACGGTCTGCAGTCGTGCGCTTGTCAAATGGTGAGTCCGAAATTTTTAGCGGATTTTTCGCGCGAGAATACTACAACTCTCCACAAAGGAGGACGTCAGCGTTTTTATGTTGCGCATGTTCGGCCTGGCAATGTTGCAAAATCAATAAGGATCACGATGTATGTTTTACACAAATACATATACAAACGATCAAAGTGTCTCTGTAGCTTCCATATACTCGTATGGAGAAAAACAATCACCGTTAATTATGACGGCCGAAAAGATGAAACATTATCACTTTTCAAAATTAATGATTTCTTAAAATCAATTATAATCTAATCGGAAAATTATTATCCAAGGAGTTGAGTTTTCGACTCTTTCCTTTATGGAAACTGAGCTCGTTATTTTCCATGAGGCCGATATTTTCACAACAATATTTTTGTTGTCTTGTGTGAAAAGATTTGCGATGGTCCGATGAAAGCTTATTTACATTTTATTATTGAAACTGGCTTAAAAAAGCATCATACGCTTATACGGAATTGTATTGGAACGTATTTTCGATAACGGTACAAATGCAAACATATTCGAGCTAAATTCAGAACAACCTGCTTAATTGTTCAATTCACAAGATTAAATTTGCAAAACTAAATTATGCTAAAATTTACTTACTTTTTTCATATTAATTATTTTATCACGCGCGCTATGTTATGTATGCGTCGCACTTTATTAACAAAGTTTATATATTTATCCTAGAATAGATTAAAATATAAAATCTTTAATTTTTCTGGATTCGTTATATTTTTCATAAAATTCCAGAGAAATGTAAAAATTAAGAAGACTAATTTAGAAAACTAATATTTATACAAGAAAGAGAAGGTAAATAGCACACTATATTTCGCAATATAAGGACTGACTTTCAAAATGCGTTTTGTCAAAAATTGATAATTTTCAGAAAATGAGAAAGAAACTTGCAAGAAAACTGTGCGCCTTATAACAAGTGAGATATGAAATGTTCAACGAAATTGCTAAAAATGTTAAAAAATACATTTTGAACACAATCAATAAGAAATAGGAAAGGTCTATAACTGGATCTCTCTCTCTCTCTCTCTACTGTTTACAATTAAATAATTAAATGTGAATTTTATATATGTATATATATATATATATATATATGTATACCGTGCACGGTGATATGTCCGTCAAAGCGTTCGTCGCGCGACCGATCGCTTAGTTGCGCCGCTCCTAACGGTGCAAATTTCATGCCCTGTAGTTGGTTATTTTCAAATGCTCACCGTTTGAAATCTACTGATGCCTCAAGACTTTGCTATTAATATTTTCGATTCACTTTTCCATGATGATTATGTACGTGCCGGTTCCTTATTCTGGAACACCCTGTATGTACACACTATATGTGTACATATGTATATACCGTATTTGTAATTATTTTTAAACTGCGCGCCGAAATATATTTTGTTTATCTGTAGTTAAAGGGCATAATGCAATTCAAATGTCAAAATTTTTTGCAGCACGTAAATTGTGATGGTGTAGAAATGCTTTTAAAACATCATAGAATAGCTTAAAATATGAGTCTATTAATACTAAACATTTATGCTCTATATCTTTAACTCAAAAAATGAAATTTTGAAGAAAATATATTTTGGAAGTCTGTGCTTCTCATATAGTTTTAGAAATTAGTTATAAAAATATACATGTATATTCTATTGATTAATTATTATTAATCAATAATATTTGGAGATTCACGTAATAAGTTCCATAACAAATTCTATACAAATATAGCTTGTTGCGATTACGCTTTTATCGCACTTTCTTTTTATAAATTCGAAAATTAGAATCTGAGTCCCGGCATGTCACCGTCTGGCATGTCACCGTCGTATCAGCAGAGCGAACCCAGTCCTACGGCACTGGGCAGCAATCAACAGCAAACGCTGCAATACATGATTCAGACGCAACAACGCCAACAGCAACAGCAGCAGCAGCAGCAGCAGCAGCAGCAGCAACAACAACAGCAACAACCGCCACATCAACCACAGCATCAGCCAGCACAAACTGGACCAGCTGGTCCTAGTCCACCCAACACGCCGACACCTTGCCCCGCCACAGCCAGCACCATGATGGGCCAGCTGATGGGTGCGCTCAATCATTCCGCCCTTGATGATCTTAACATCAACATTGAGGCGATGCACGGCGGCTTCGACTGCAACGTTGAGGAAGTAAGTCTGTCTGATTACGCTCTATCCGTTACTACTGATTTTGTCAGTTATGTCCGTTACTATACGAGAAAAATATGATATTGTATATTAACACAGTATTATATTAATTGAAAAACAATCTTGTTAATTCAATAATAAAACAAATAAAATTTTATTAAGACAAAAGCATTTGTTTTTTTCACTAATAGTGTGTGTGATTGAATTAACAAAATTTATTTTCAATTAAGATAATGTTGTTGCTACATTATTTTTCAGTGTATACTCTAATGCCGTATACTAATAACCTGACGATAAAAAATATCAAATTAAGGAAATAATTTTTTGTGCACTACGAACGTTTTAAGATCCTTTTTAAATTAAATACAAATTTTTTAAATAAAATGCGGAGAACTTTTTAGTTGATCTTTGTTACGTAAAATTTGTATTTCGTCGTGCAAATTGTCTTATATTTCGATTGTTACGCAAACTGTATCAATCTTTATCTGGAGAATTTATTTTATTTACGAAATCTAATAGTAATTAATATTATTAATTTTTAAGAAATTATGCGCTCCTCTATACGTATAACTATATATCTACTTTACATACAGTAAAGATAAAAATTTCGTAGCTACTGTTAGAAAATAAATCTCAGTTTAAATTAAAAAATTTAATAAACTTATTTTACCGAGTAAGGATTGCTACAAAAGAGGGAATATTTCTTTGTAAAATATATATACGTATAAACACGCAATTCGATATATAAATTGCAGGTAATTAGGCATGAGTTGTCGATGGGTGGCACGCTGGATTTTAACTTCCAGCAGGGAGTGATGGGCACCGTGCAGGTCAGTGACGGCAACGTCGTTGGCCAGAATGGCGGCGTCGTCTCCCAGAACACGGGCGTCGTCATCGGCACAACGACCGGCAACGCACCGGGTGTCTACGTAAGCACGAATGCGGCAACCCCCGCCGCGACCCCTTCGTGGGTTCACTAGCAGTTAACCCCCCTGCCCTCGACACCCCCATCGTCCTTGCCGATGCCGATGTTGTCCGACGGATCAGTGGATAACTTCTGCGGGATGACCGAAGGGCAACTTATCGGTGAGTTTCCTCAGTTTTGAATTTCAAGTTAACGCTTGTAATCACAATTATCATATATCAAGACGAACTATCAATAAATTGAACGGCACAATCACTCGTATTTCGAATTTGCGGCGAAAAGTTTGTGCTTATTTCTTAGGAAAAAGTTATAAAAGAATCATATACTATATTCGGTGATAATAGATTTAAATAGAGGGACTTTAATTAATAGTTACTCTATGTAAGATCATGTAAAATTTTCTAAGAGTGTCACTTATTTTGTATTCATCACTTTTTTCCCTTTAAAGATAATGATAAAAAAAAATTCGCTATTATGATATACATATTTAATAATTATTTCACATTTGTATAGACTCTCTAATAAATGATCGATAATAACTTGATCACATAATTCAATTTTCGTAAACAAAAGAACTTGAATTAATTTCTAGATTCTAAGCAATAGCTTCACTTAGGTAAATGCATTACGTAATCGTGAAATAAAGGAAAGACGTAAATCTATGTCATCCATCTGTTAGATGTTAGAGTCCGCGAATCGATATATCATTCTCGCGTGGCTGATTAATCATCCGGAAGTTCGCGCAGGATCTTTCGCGAACTTTCTCGCACGTCGCGTTTTCGATCATGGAACTATGAAGGGAGGAAGATATCCGGCAGAGGGAATGGAGAGCACAGAGAGAGAGCAGGTCATTGATTGCCCTCTCGTGCACGCAAAATAATATTTGCATACTCGTGTCATAACAGTGCTCAGCCGTATGGTATTTAATAAATCGCTTCGACGTTTTGTGCCTCCGTCCCCCCTCTCGGTCTCCCGTACCCCCGCCTTCCGCCATTTCGTACGTGCCGACACATTCATATAGCGGCAACCCGTGTTCCGACGGTGTTTTGTGCGAAATCGCTATTGACTTGGACGCGATAACAATTACATCGCCGCGGGCCGCGAATTTTATGGAAAGCCTTAACACAATATTGCTGATCGCGATCACACGAAAACAGTCGCATTTTGTTTGACGAAGAAGCGGAGCTTTGAACAATTATGCGTTCGCGGAAAAACACTCGCGCGGGGCCTCGATTTTCTCCCGAACTATTACACGTCGTTTAGCGATAAACGCGAGTTCTCTATTTTTATGACATACTTTATGCCTAAATATAAATTTCACCGTAGATAAGAAACAATTGATGAATTAGTCCATAGCTCGAATAGTGTATTGTTTTGTGTCGATAATGTGGTCCTGAGAGAAGAGTACATCTAATTCTTATTATGTTAGTGTTTAGAAGAAGGTTACAAGATATGTTATACACAAACTGTATAGAAATGTAATCGAAAAATTGGTTTTTTAGAAAACTGGTAGACAGAAAATACACATCAAAAGTATACCTGTATTTTTAATACAACCCGCACGTTAGGGAACAAATTGTTTTAAAAATCAAGCCGGAATATATAATTTATGAATGGCTTGACTATTCACACGTTTACGAGACGATATATAATCCCTTCTATGTACATCATTTCCTAGAATATTTATTTGTATCTCAGATATTCACGTTTGCTTTGCAGCGATCTTGGACAATTTACATGAATTTATACTATATTTATAGTAATCGCGGATAATGGGATCTGTCTCTTTCTGCAATTAATGTTCTGTGCACAAAACTTGCGATAAAAGTTAAAATACATATTTTTATATTTCTTTACGCCGATTTCCTTTTTCAAGCTTTGTGCTCTCTCTCTCTCTCTCTCTCTCTCTCTCTCTCTCTCTCTCAATAACGTAAAAAGAGGAAGAAGATGGTATATGATAATAGAACGTGAATTCTCGGAGAAAATCATTTTTGCTACTAGTGTGTCGCAATAAAGCGACTAAAATAATTCTCACTTCGCTACCGGTGCCTTTTAATCTTTAATACATGCAGTGCATGTAATTATATCTTTATCCTACCATTTCATCGTTGTCCTTGTCGTGATCATCATTGTCGTTGTCACACTAATGGAGATAAAAATGCCATATGAATGTATGGATAAACGATCGACGATATTAATCATACGCTGATAATCGCGTTCTAGCGTGTGCTTTCCGGCGGTCAATTGCAACTGGCTGGATATTGGCTTCCTCTTGCAATGTGCGCAGTTGCGTGATCGATGTAATAATGTTTTTCGAGTGTTACAAAAGGAAACGTCGAGAATCGTAATCGTGAATGAATCCACATACAATTCATTCACAAAATATATGTATAACGATTAGCAAATTACCGCGGCATCTCTCTTCAAGAATAAGGTAAAAAAAAATTAAAAAAGAAATAAAAAACTAAATTAGTTAACAAAATAAAGATAAAAGTAAGCTCTTTTATATATATATATATATATGTTAATTTAACATTTTCTCTCTTTTTCTAACATATAATAAGTCTAAATGTGTGCGTGTGTGAAACAAGTCGATAAAATCAGTATAACAAAATTCGTATACAGTTGAATGCATTTACTCCCACTCATACTTTCACTCATTCATATACGATCGTCAACGACGCTGATTCCGTTTTCGTCGACTTTTTTTTATCTTGCATATCATCGTTCGAGTAGAAGCAAAACGCAAAGCAGCAAGTAGGCAAGCAGACAGCGAGAAAAAATGACGCGAGCGTTTGGCCACACTAACGGCTCATTTTTTTCCCCGGACAACCTCTTTTGGCGATTGCACTCACATGACAGCCTACTTTGTTGTCCCTACGGGCGCGGATATTATTTACACGGCGGAATATCGGCCCGAGAGAGATATTAGCTTTCAGAAAAATATTTTTCAGAGCGGCGAACGCGCGCGAGCGGCGAAAAAATACCGCCCCCGGGCTTACGCCCCGGTATATTAACGCCTCCGGCCGTTCCAGTAGTTTGTTGTGCGTATGAAACTGCTATGCACGCCGATCTCCGTTAGTTCCGAGGGGGATCGATGTCTTTTTGTTTCCTCTCTCTTCTTTCCCTGCTCTCTTTCTCTTGCATTCTCTCTCTCTCTCCCTTTTTTTATCCAACTGTATATCCATTTACCGTCTGACGGAAAGGGTATAAATTCGAGGGTTTGGATAAAACCGATACCGCCACCGCCGCCGCGCCGCAGCGAGCGAAGCGCAACGCGACGCGTAAGAAACGCGCTTCGAGGCACGGACGTTTCAACGCGGTGGCGGTGCTGCCGTGACGGTGACAGGAAAAATTCCGCAGTAATTCTTTGTACAGCATGGAAAAATTTCTCCTATCGCTTGAGAAAATATTTTCAATCATTTTTACGGGATAAAATTTCACCTAAGGCAGTAGCAGAAATAAATTTATTGAGCTTGGAGTCTAGGATTCGATCGGTGATAATAATTAGTACTATAAAACTTATTTGTTTTATATGATCAAGTTAATCCTCCCTCTAATTGTAACTTAAGACTAGATGAAAAATTTCTATTCTATTTTCTATATCTAACACAATGACAAAACGCCATTTCTTCTCAAGCAACGGATAACGAGAAGAGGGTTGATAACGTGATAATCCGAGAATCGCTCCGTTTTATCGAGCGCAACGATAAAGGAATAAGGAGAGTCCAGCCTTATCTCGTCATCGCCCTGTAAAACTACTCGCGAGAGTAGTCTTGGCCATGGAGCGGAAACTGCGAAACTACGAGAAGCGTCCCTCATTAAACGAGAGCGCGCTCGGTGAAACTTTTGTCGTCCGAAATAACAATGGAGTCTCTCGAGCGCCGGATTATTTCGAGATCACACGGTACATGACTCTAATTGAACGACTTCCGGTCGGCGTCGCGCTAATGGAGAACAGATTTTCGGATCCGTGCCGCTCGTAAACTCGCGGTCGAAACTCGAAACTCGCTCGCCCTCGATCAGTTCCTTCGCGAAAACTTCCAAGTTAAAACAAAAAAGCATCAAGGATAGAGGGAAAAGAGCGACGCGCGGGAAGGAGGGGGCATCCACAGAAGGGGCGAAGAATAGGAACAAAGTGGGCAGATAGGGAGAAAACCAAGGGATGCAACGATAGATCGAGGTAGAGAGCATGTAGGTTGCGGAATGAGGGAGGACGGGTCGCTCGTCTGACAAGAGGTTGGGTGGCAAGGGAAGAAGTCTTTTCTTCCTGTCCCCTTCTCTGCCTCTTTCTCTTCTCTCCTCCACCAACTTTATAATTCTTGCGACGCTTTTGGGGAATGAGATTGTCGGTGGCAGGGGTGAATGGAGGCGGCCAGGGGGTGGCCGGGCTTTAAGGTAGTCCGCTGGCGCCAGTGACGTCTGCCGAATAGCTGCTGACTCCCAGACTCCTGCAGTTTCGGCTAAGTGGTTCCCTTTTGCCCCACTTCAGTGTTTCTGAGCGCACACCTTCCTCCACACCCGCGGGAATGCACCTATCATCGACGGCGAAGGCTGATGAATGCTCGATTTTCTATCGACCACGGAGAGACACCATAGGGCGGTTTAAGGCGACAAATAACATCAAAGCTTTCTATCAAAAAGATTTCAGTCTTGTAGGTCAAGGTTTTAGTCGTTCATGATGAAAGATTGCTATTTTTGTACGCGAATGAGAAAAAATTTTATCTTAAGGGAATTTGGAAATTATGAATATTAAACTTTTTTATTTTATTTAAACTTTTCATCGTTAAAATGACAAATTTATCACATTACGAAAAGTATAATTGTTTCTTTTATTTTAATATGCATTTTTCCAATATATATTTTTAAATAAAAGTTCAAGTTAAAAGAGATACTATCCCTATAAGTAATAAAAGAGAGAAATTTAATGTTGAACAATTTGAGAGATCGTTTTCGAAGTGATCGATATTATAACATCTAGAAATAAATCAAGTTATTGAAAAATACAGAAAAATTATAATTGGATCTGTTAAAAAACTTAATAATTTATTAATAACAATACATTGTGTTAAAAATAGT